TGGGCTGAGTTTCAGCCCTGTTTACTCCAGGCCCCCCAGCCCCCCTCCCCAGACCCCCCCCCCCCTCCCCCCCCCCCCCCCCCCCGGAGTAAAAAATACTACCCCCATCCCTTAAAACTTTGTCAAAGTTGACCGGCACGGAGAATAATAAAGTAAAAACTGTGTGGTTGAGGTTTGTGCAGAGGAGAGAAAAATAACAGAAACCATAAATAATTGATTAAAAAAGAAAGTGGCAAAATTTTTTGGGACATCTCAAAAAGGAAAGACGACAAAGTTTTAAGGGACAGAGGGAGTAAAAAAAACTTGTATCCATTCACATAAATCACAATTATTAGACCTCTTATTTTTGGAAATATAGATTCAGATTATATCGAAATGAAGTGTGAGCCTTTCCTAAGAAAAAAAGGGAAAAGGTGCAAATAAGTCCTCGAACTAACCGAAAAAGTGCAAATCACCCCTTTTATAGGAGGCTCTGTCTGGCCATTGCCATTTAGAGCGGTTACCGGTGGAATTTTTTGATGAATGTTTTTTAGCATTTTCTTCATTTAAGTCTAGTTTATCCATACCAAATTTCAGGTAAAAATTCAACCGGGAAGACAGTCAAATGATCATCTGAAATATATTGCGCTGTTTAACTCCGCAGTTATCTTCAAACATTTATTTGACAGCCTTCACGATTGAATTTTTACCTGAAATTTAGTAGAAGTAAACTAGATTTAATGAAAAAGATGCTCAAAAAATTTCATCGAAAAATTCCACCGGGAACTGCCTCCAATAGCGACGGTCGCACAAAGTCTCTTATAAAAGGGGTGATTTGCACTTTTTTCGGTTAGTTCGGTCAGTGCGGAATAAGGTGAGAGTCCTAATCTAAATAATTGGCTGGCAAAGGTGCTCAACAATTGGTTACTTTACGCCTTATGCTAACTTTTGTCTTAGTTTGGCAATACCCGCACGGGTAGCTCAGTTGGTCGAGTGGTGGGAGATTTGGAACAATCAACCAAGGTTTGAATCCCCGCAGCGACCGGGTGGAGGTCACAGAACCTGAAATAAGGCTGGGCCTCTGGTGCGCATGAGTGTATGGGCCTACTGCCATTCTGCTGACTGAATCACCGTGACTAACCTCCCCACCATCCTGTCGGGTCGAGGTGGGGGGCTCCTGGGGTGGGAGATTCCACCTTTTGGAACAATGTCTTAGTTTGGCAATTGATTGAACAATCCCGCTGCTTCCAAATGCTAAGTTTTGCCTTACTTTGGGCAATTCATTTCTGGTCTAGGGAAGCGTGCAAAAATCACAAAATGTGATTTTGTACTCACCTTTATACTAAATTTTATAATCACCTATAGGGATGGACCCGGGCCGGTCCGGTTCCGGTTCCGGTTCCGGGCCAGGCCCGGTCGGGCTTTTTTTGCAAAATGTTGGGCCCGGAACCGGCTCGGGTTGATACCGGGTCCGGGTCTAACCGGGCCGGGCCGGGTCAAGTTCAATTTTTTTTTTGGTTTCTAATTAACACCTGACCCCCCCCCCCCCTCACCCCCACCCCCAAACCCCCCCAAAACACCCAACCCTAACCTAGAAAAGTAAAAAAAATTGAAAAAAACAACAAAAAAATGAATCGGGCCCGGCCCGAACCGCCCGGGCCGGTTCACCAAAAGTTGGGCCCGAGCTTGGCCCACCCGACCCGCCCAAACGGGCTAAAAACCCGGAACCGGCCAACCGGTCCCGGTCCGGGCCCAAACAGTAACGGGCCGGGCCGGTTCTGGGTAGGGCCGGGCCGGTTCCGGGTCGGACCGGGCCGGCCCGGTTTAGTCCATGCCTAATCACCATGTCTGTGAAAGACATTTTTGTATATAAATTATCTTCATAAATAAAATATGTCTTATTTGCAAAATTTGGCTATGTAAATTTAAAAAAAAAACAAAATACGACATATTTTATCTGTGAACAAAATTTACGTACAAAAAAAAAGTTTTCAGAAAGATGAATATAAGGGATAGGTAGGTTGCAAAAATAAATAATGTCTCCATTGCACATAGTCTACGTTTCAGTGTCGATGAATCGGTCAAAAGTATATAAATAAATAAAACAAAGCCAACATAAATGTTTGAGTGGAGAAAGACATGTCCGATAGACTAAAATCAAAAGTAAAAAATCAAAAGAAAAATTTTCAAATCAAAAGTAAAAAAATTTCAGAAAAGTTGGTGAAAACAAAAAAATCTTCGTACCAAATGATAAGATTCTGTCAAAGTATTATTTTTCTTATTATTCTCCAAATCACCAAATTAAATGCGTTAAAACAAAATTAATTGCTCCAAATATGAAAAAATAGAAATCATGGCACAAGTTCTATTTATACACTTTTAATAGATCAAAATATGACTGTTTTTACACTTTCCAAAAATATGATCCGACCCAGGCCCTTAGCTTGGGTCTCCCTCTTGGCGAAGATTTTCACCAATAGGCAATGGAGCAAAGGAGATGACCAGCGCCGACTTTTCTCTCCATAGATTTGCGCCTTCTCTCTTCTCATGACCGTCCATCGCATCTTCTTCTTCTTCTTCTTCTCCGATGATTTCTCCATCTGCGACGGTGACCATTACCGCCCTAACTCTTCTTCTCCTTTCTACGTCGATTTGGCCTCTGCATCTCCGATTGCTTCAATCAAGACGGAGATTTGATAGATTAGAGTTCCAAATCTTGATGTTGATGGTTAGGGTTGCGCTGGAGGTGAGTTAGAGGATGAAAAGCGGCGGCAGACGGTAGTAGTGTGGTGATGTGATACGGCGGTTGTAGGTCTGAGGCGTGGTGTGGTTTTGGGCCTCGATTTTGCAAGGGCTGGGGTTAGGGAGGAGGCTGGTGGATTGGGGAAGGGCTGGGGAGGGGGGCTGGTGGACTGGGGATGGACTGGTGGGTTGGGGTGGGGATGGGGAGGGGGCTCATGGGCTGGGGTGGGGACTGGTGGGCTAGGGAGGGGGCTGGTGGACTGGGGAGGGAATGGGAAGGGGGCTGGTGGGTTGGGCTGGGGCTGGGGAGGGGGGTCATGGGCTGGGGAGGGGCCGGTGTGGTCATGGTTAGGGTGACGGCTGTCTATAGTGGTGGTTGCCAGGTGTGTGTGCGGGGCTGAGTGCAAGTGTTGGAGTCGGGGGTGGTGGGTGATCGGTCGTGGTGTTGGCGGAGACAATTTCGCTGATCGGAAACAGTCATAGTGACATATTTTTTGGCGGCAGTGAAATTCGTACGTCCGTAAGTGACCTTAAAATCGGATAGTGACATTCATAAGTGATATTAAAATCGAGTAGTGTCAAAACATAGTGACACAAATAAATCGCAGTGACAAAAAAATTATAGTTACATCATGTTTTTCCAAATATATGACTTTGTTAGTCACATTTTTGTTCATATTAGAAAGTAGTTACATTTTTGGAAATTAGCTCTAATTTAGTACGGTAAGATTTAGAGTAAAATCCCATAAAATATAGATAAAATAAAGCATATTAAGAGTGGTTATGTTTTATATCTAAAATATGATTTACATATGTAGTGTTGGAAAAATGTGTTAAAAATTGCATTAAATGGTCATTTTGAAGCAATTATTTGAGTGGGGTCCACTTCCGATTTGGGTCGGGTAAAAGTGGTTTCGGATTGTCCTTGTTAAGGGCTACAATTCGATATATGGTACACTCAAAACGGATAACGGGTGAATGAGAAATTGATTCTCGCAGTTCACTCGTTGAAATGGAAAAACTAGGAAAATGATGAGTTTCTAGTGTGTTTTATCCCACACCGAAAAACTCAAGGGATTTTCACCCCCTTATAAAGGAAAGCCTCTTTTAAGGAGTTAAGATTCCTAAGGGTAAAGACTCTCTCTTACGCGCGCGGGGGGGGGGGGGGGGGGGTGCCGATCAAATCCCGAAACGGAGAAAAAAAACCTCGACTCGTGTGCGCGGGCGACCTGCGGACACGAATGTCGTCCGAAAACCTATCACTCGTGTGCTGGTGACAGTTAGTGAGTCTTTCCAAGTGGCGTCAATTATCCATTTATTGCCGCCGATTTGGAAGGATTTCAAGAACTACCTTAAGCATAAGCGAAAGGAAATGAACTTGGAGTAATTGATCCTCCGTCTGCGGACTGAAGAGGATAACCGGAAGAACGATGGGAAACTCCCAATCGTTAACGGCGCCAAGGCAAATGTGGTGGAGCATGCAAAGGGCTCCAAAACTAAAAATAATGGGAAGAACAAGCTCGGTCCCAAGGGAAGCGTTTCCAAGACAAAGTTCAACGGAAAATACTTCAATTGCAATAAAAACGGACACAAGTCCGCGGATTGCAAGGCACCCAAGAAGAAAAGGGACTCTCAAGTCAACTTGGTGCAAGCTGGGCAAAAGGATGAAGACATCATCCTAGCGGCTGTGGTTACGGAAGTCAACCTCGTTGGATCCAATTCCAAGGAGTGGTTTGTGGACACCGGTGCAACCCGACATATTTGCTCAAACCGGGAGTTATTCACAACTTTTGAGCCATCAAATGGTGAGAAAGTGTGGATGGGTAACTCGGCTCATTCCGCGGTTGAAGGCGTGGGCAAGGTGGTCCTGAAGATGACTTCGGGCAAAGAGCTGACTCTCAACCAAGTGTTGTTTGTTCCGGAAATACGCAAAAACCTGATCTCCGGTTCGTTGTTGAACAAGCATGGCTTCCGCATGGTTTTTGAGTCGGACAAACTGGTTTTGTCTAAATCGGGAATGTATGTGGGCAAGGGATATACATGTGATGGGCTTTTTAAGCTCAATGTAATGACTATTATTATTAATAATAATAATAAAATCCCTTCTACTTACTTGCTTGAGTCTCCTAATGTGTGGCATGGTAGACTAGGACATGTTAATTTTAATTCTATACGTAGATTAATTAACATGGAGCACATTCCTAAATTCACAATTGATGTGAAGCACAAATGTGAAGTATGTGTAGAGGCAAAACTAACGAAAACATCTTTCAAATCGGTTGAAAGAAAAACGGAACCACTTGAATTAATTCATAGTGACGTTTGTGATTTTAAATCAATACAAACACGTGGTGGTAATAAATATTTTATTACCTTTATCGATGATAGCACTCGCTATAGCTACGTTTATTTTATTACCTTTATTTTAGACTACGTGTAAAATAAAAAATTACACATTTAACAAAAAAGTGACTAATAAGAATAATAAGCCGAGAACATGAATATCCACAACAAGTGGATATATACATGTACTTCACAATTTAACAATTGTCTTGAATAATGGAAGACTAAACAGAATGTTGTCATTTTCGCCGCATGGAAAGAAGGTTTATCTAAGGACCAAGTAGAGTTATGCTTGTTTCTGATTTACACAACCTAAACAAAAAGTATAGAACGGAAGAAACCGCTTCCACCCCGCAACCACACGTTCCCCAGATTAGGCATATCTTCTTTGTTTGATCAGACATTCCCCTAAATAGTAATACATACAGTAGAGCAATGAAACCCACAGAAAATCCCATCCTGCACACGCATTCACACCATGAAATGGGAAGTATAGATCAACATCATTTTCATCATTTTCATTTATCCCAGTGCCGCAAAGGCTCCCACCTACGGTGGGGTAAGGGAGGGTCGAATGTACGCAGTCTTACCCCTATACTAAAGCACAGAGAGACTGTTTCCGGATGACCCATAGTGAAAATCGCGTCCAAAATTGCATGGACTGACTGCTGCTTCATTACAAAGAAGCGCAGACAGTTTAGTGAGCCATTTTGCTTTATTCCATCATGATCTCAAGCCAAAAAATAATGAATCTTTGGCTCCATTGCAAATGATGGAAAAGAGAAGTATAGATCAACGATTAATTATATTATTAGGTGCATTTCAACTTAGTTTACTCATTATTTAGCGTACGTAGTGTAACATGAATTCATAAATTCGTAATTGACTTACTGATGAAATGGTTGAAAAAGTTGTATAGAAACAGTTTTGGTTGTTAAAATTAAGTTGGATTAAACTGACTCTTCCATAAGCCTATGTTTTATGAACCGGACCAAACAGGGCGACTCGACTCAGAATAGGGACAACCGGCCCTTGAACCGGTATACTGCTGCCCCTCCACCTCCGGCCAAAACATGGCTTTTTTCCCAAAAGAGGACCAATTAGTTTAAACATTCTTAAATAGGACTTTTTATGTGTGATTGGACCAAAATACCCCCACTGCTGCCCCTCCACCTCCGGCCAGCCGCCTGCCGCCAGAGCTCCGGCCACCGCCACCGCCGCCGGAGCACCGCCGGAAAATACCAAAAAATGTTTGGCAGACTGCCAGATTCTGCCGCCGCCGTCACCCGCCGCCGCCGCCGCTGCCGCTGCCGCCGCCGGAGCACCGCCGGAAAATTCAAAAAAAATAACTGGCAGACTGCCAGATTCTGCTGTCGCCGCCTCCGCCACCGCCGGAGTTCTCCGCCGCCGCAATGGTGTTTATCAGAATTTATTGTTTATTTATTGTCTACTTATTGTCTATTTATTGCCTATTTAATGTCTGTTATTTTCTTGCCGCCGCCGGAAACCGCCGCCACTGCCGCCGCCGCCACCGGAAATCGCCTCTTCCGCTGCCGCCACCACCAGACTGCCTTGGTTGTGCAATGAAACTAGGTGGGCAATTATTTAGATCAATTAATTAATTAAATAGAATTAGGGGTAAAAAAGGTAAGGTTAGTCCTATTTAGAGAAAAACATGCATGTGGTCCTATTTTGAGAAAAAGGTTGAGTTTTAGTCCTATATACTTCAAAAACAATAGCTCAAATACACATACTATTGAAAAACAATCAAGTAGGTCCTATCACCCGTTAGCAACTTAAGATAGCAGGTCACTGTCATTTGTTTTACCTATTTTCTTCTTACATTTCCTTTGTCTTTTGTTTTACGATTGCATCTCTCCTAGTCAAGCATTTTTTTTATTTGGCTTTTCATTCTTCTTTTTTTTTTGAATAGTTTTCATTCTTTTTTATTTCTCTTCTTGATCATCAATCCGAGGCATCCTAGCTCTTACACCTCATCTATTTCGAATCATCCAAATTTATTGTCTTTGTTTTCCATTGTTTACATTTTCACCTCCTAACATTTTTGTATATTTAGTTTTTCCCTATATACTTTCATTTTCACCTTGAAGCCTGAAGAGGAATGCTGGTTTCCGGCCGAGTGATCGGCGGCGGAGGCGGCACCGAGGAGACGGGCGCCGAGGTGGAAGGAGGTAGGCTCGACATAGGGAGAATTAGGGTTTTGGAACTCGTGCGTCTGATTTCATGTGAAATAATAAAGCTGGAGAATAATGGTTTACCTTTGTGGTAGCCCTAGCTGTGTATTTATATTAAGCAAAGGATAAATAATTACACACATGTCCTTAACTAATAATAATAGTAATAATACGCTATTAACTAGTACTAATCGTGTTCTGCAACTTCTTTGAATGTGATTGATACTTGCGTAATTTTTTTAGATTACGATAATACACATGTTTTTGTTTGGACTAAAATTTTCTGATCTGGTCTGATCTGGTTAGGTTTTATATGGTTTGATTTGGTCTGGTCTGAACTGGTTTGAAATTGTCCAGTAAATGTTTGGTCTCTGTGTATCTTATAACTATCCAAGTCTGATCTGAGATTAAAAATAATCCAAGTAAAAACATCCTAACTACTAATCTTAATTAATACTCCGTATATCAATAATATAATAAACATATGCTACATCAGTCGGTGTACTCTAATCTCATACTACCTCCGTCCTAAAAAATTGTATCGTTTTCTAAAATGTGATCAATAATATATTTTTATTGGAAATTATTTATAATGATTTTTTTTGTTAAAAGTACAATTATAAAAGTATAAAACTTATAGAAATTGTCCTAAATAGGAGTAAAAACGCTTTGAAATTCCAAAACATGAGTAGCATGTTTTTTATTCCTTGAATATGAGTAATCTGCCAAATTTGGAAAAAAATGCCATGTTTAAAAGCCTAGTAATGCCAAACTTGGCAGAAATTTACTCCTATTTAGGGAATAAAAAGCATGATAGTTCTATTTTGGAATTTCAAAACTTTTTTACTCCTATTTAGGGAATTTACTCTAAAACTTATAACCTCCGTAATATTATACTAATCAAAATCACTACAAAAGAACACAGGATTGACATGGATATTTGGTAAGGGTTTCCAAAAATTGACAAATATTTTGGCAAGGATATGTCAAATTCATGTCATTTTGGCATGCGCTATTTGACACAAAATTATCGATAAATCTGTACAAAATCTGTACAAATCTCGTAACTTTTTTGTAGTGAGTCATGATTCAAGTTTTATAAAATGATAGTTTTTTGAAACGAGGTAGTATAATTTATCCAAAAAAGTAAAGGAGACGTTACCCTATTAACAGCGATGTAAATTTCACCAACATCCGGATTCCTTTCGAGCCAATAATTTGAGTTGAATCTGGTAGCTTTTGAGCCCAATCTAAACATTTATGGATCAAGGTACACACAACAGATAATACAAGGACGACTATTGCTTCTTTGCAGAGCAGCCTAGCCGCATCTCCTTTGTTTTGAATCACCTATGTCACCAAAAAATCATACATAGCACCAATATTACTCCTACTCTTATCATAGACAAAAATATGACCTAGTTTAAGATGGACACAAATGTAACTAATTAATTATAAAATAACGTAATGTACAATAATTATCCATACAGAAATTGCTCTTAATAGGAGCAAAAACGTTTTGAAATTCCAAAATAGGAGTATCATGTTGAATAGGAGTAATCTGTCAAGTATGAAAAAAATGTCATGTTTAAAAGCTCAATAATGCCAAATTTGGCAGAACTTTACTCATATTCAAGGAATAAAAAACATGATAGTCCTATTTTAGAATTTCAAAACTTTTTTACTCCTGTTTAGGAGAATTCTTTCTCATCCATACTACTATGTAAACCCTAAAAAATTCTTCTACCCTCCTCCGATCCTTTAATCCCGCAGCCGCCGCTTCTAAGTGATCAGCTTCTTTCATCTTCTAATCTTCTAATTTTCTACCTCTCACCTCCCTTCATTTTTCTTTTAATCCTTCCTTCATCTTCTTTTATACACGTTGCATTATATACTTGTAGATGTATGCATACAGCATACACACAGATACATGTCTACTTTTTGAGTGCCGATTTTTACAGCATACAGCATACTACTAATTCTTTTTCTCCCAACATTTCCCTTCAATCTGGGCTCCACTTGTATGGCATGTCCACTCTGCATATCTTGCTTTGTTTGACTCCATAATTTGTGAATGGTCACAGTGGATACTTTAAATTGGGTGGTTAATGTTCTTATCACATCCCTCTGAAGTTTACTTTCAACTGAAACTGCCAGTAACTTCTCAATCAACGCCCTACGATTTTCAAAGCTGAACTTAGGCCTTTTTTGTTTAACTGTTCCACTGCTTTGTACCCCTACCCCTCCAGTGGGGTCCATTGTTAGATCTATTATTGGCTGAACACTGTTAATGTTGTCTTGTACAGGTTCACCATCCGGATCTTCTTCTTCAACGGGGTCCACAGCAGGTTGTTGGGCAACATCATTTATAGAAGAAGACTCCATAAATGAAGAGCTTTAAAAGGAAGAAAATGGCACAAGATTTCTAGGTTTAGAAGTAGTGTATTCAATACTTTAGATTTTATAGATAAAGTTGTGTAAGATTAAAGTAGAATTTTGGAGGGAATCCAAAAAAGAATCTTCCCTCCTTTTTGGCCACCCAAATGTAACCTATCTACTCTCTTTCCCTTTATGTCATTCAATTTCATCTTTTCAATTACACTTCCTCCAGTTTTTTTTTTTACTTTGATTAGATGGGGGTAACTTCTTTGGGGGTATTCTTGGAAAGTCAACAAAAAAAATTTCACTTTCTTAAAAACCAAAAAGTCAAACTGTGAATATGATTTGGGACCGGAGGGAGTATATAACTTTATTTATTAATTAATGGGCAACGAATGTTGGAGTATCTCTAATGTCACTATGTATACACAGGTGACATGAGAGAGAGAGACACACAAATACTAGTAGATAAAATATCTCTCCTTATATGAATGATTTATATGTTTTTTATAATTTCTCTCCACAATATCGAGAATAATGTCTAGATTTAAACATTGTAGTTGACATTATTACTAATGTTATATAAAACAGTGGAAAATGAGAGAGAAATGTTAATGATTTGTTTTTATGTCACATGTGCACCGTGCACATATAATCTATGTAGCACGAATACTTGACCAGGGTACCATATCGGCGTATCAGATACGTTCTTGTATCAGATACTCTATGATTTATGTATTGTACGTTCACGGCAAATAACGTTTGCAGTTTATTTACTCTGACCTTTAATTGGACATTGAACACTTGTAGTATTTATTGCAGATAAGTTGTACTCCCTCCGTCCCAATTTGTTTTGCAAAGTCAACATTTTTTTATCAACAAATTAGCTGGTGCAGCTAATTGACATATAACTAAACAAATACGGAGTACTATATTTTCGAAACTCGTCCCAATTAAGGATGTTGACATACAACTAAACAAATGTCATATACGCAAGAAAGAGCATCGGAAAAAAATATAACACAAAATAGTCCTCATTTTGGACGAATAACAAATAACGAATAAAAATGTGCTTTCTCCCTTCGTTCCATTCAAAGGTTTTCATTTTCGTTTTTGGACGTCCCATATAAATATTCTCATTTCTATTTCAGTAAACAATAAACACTCTTAAATGACGAGTTAATCATCAAATATTGAAAATAATACATTTGTCATATCACAGTTATTATCAATGTCTCCATTATATTATATACGCATCGAAACTATGTCTCAATTTATACTCAAATAAAATTATTTAGTTATATCCTTTAAATGATTATATCATTTTACAATTGAAACCTTTCAGCTAGACCTGGACAAAACTGGGCCGGCCCGCCCGGCCCGCCCAGCCTGCCTTCACAAATGGGTGGGCTTGGGCATATATATTTACCCACCGGGCTGGCCCGAGCCCGACCCACAATAAGATATGGGTGGGCTTGGGTTAGGGTGTAGGCCCGTTCGGGTCGATAAGCCCGGCCCGCTACATTTAGTATATATAAATATATATTTATATATATATATATATATATATATATATTAATTTATTTATTTATTTGCATATACACATGTATATTTATATTTACTAATTTTTCTTTATACATATTTATAGTTTATTATGTTTAAATTTAAATTTTTAGTTCTTAACAACTAGCCCAACCAATATAATATCTATTTTTGTACTTAAAGATAATACTTTGTGCTTAAATTTTAAATATAGTTTCTCATTATTATTTTTGTATAAGTATTTTTTTGTATGTGGTGAAAGACGTATAAACATTATAAACGTATTAATTATTTTCTAAATGTTGTAATATTATTTTTAAAGTATTTAAAAATCATATAATTTTGAAAAAATTAAAGTATTCCTGGGCCGGGCGGCCCGGTTGAATACCCGGCCCACTCTAATCGGCGGGTATGAACATAGGGGGGTTATGCCCATTTTTGCAGGCCGAGTCGGGCCCGCCCACACATGATGGGCATAAAATTTATAAAAAGCCCGGCCCGAGCCCAACCCGAACCCGTTTTTGTATAGGTCTACTTTCATCCGGACGGAGTTACTAGTTAGTATGCTTTGTCTTATTTGGGGAAATGTTATGATTCTCCCTTCACTATGTATTGTTTTGAGTAAAATTTAGAACTTCTCCAACACACCACCAAATCACACACCAAAATGGTGTATTTGTCAAAAACTTGCTCCAATAGCTACACCATTCTTCACACCATCTCACCAAAATGGGGGAGGGAGTTTGGGTTTACGCCATATATGGCGCACACCATCCCCTACGCCATTTTTTTTTTAATTTTTTTATTTCAAATGTGACCGAAACTTTTGGTTGTTATACTTTTGACCCATTTTTAGAACAACAAATTATGATGTTTTTACTTTGACTGTAATTTGCTGGTCTGATCTGGTCCGGTATGATTTGGTCTGGTCTGGTCTGAACTGATGTGGTCAGGTCTGATTTCTTTATATTTTTATAACTACTCAAGTTTAGTCAAATCTGGTCTGATCTGATCTGGGACAAATCGTAATCCAAGTAAAAACCTCCGTATAGAACAAGTAATTAAAATTATTAATTTTATAGAAAATAAAAAATATAATAAAATGTAAATCACACAATATTATAAATAGAGTTTCAAATCCAAACAACATAATAATAGAATACAAATGATACTTAATAAAAGTACATAAAAATAGTGTATTTTAGTTTGTATGTGTGAAATAATGTGTGAAATGTCAAAATAATAAATGAGGGGTTACTGTATAAATATATGATAATTACATACTTAAATAGAAGAATAGTAAAAAGTTAGTAAAAAGAATAAAAAAGGAATATTCCTTTTTGGTGTTGAAAATGGTGTAAACTGTTGGAGATAAAGTAATGTATGATGTGATATTTACACCATTTTAGCCTTAAAAGTTAAAACTGATCGACACCAATACATAGCGTCTTAAAACTCCAAAAAAAAGCCTCATGTATTTGAAGTTGAATTTTGATACGTACAGGACAAAATTATTTTCGATCAACTTAATCGTCACGTATTAATTTTTTACTTTGTTGTAGTAAACAAGATACTCTGTAGACCGTATATGGGACCATTATATTAACACGAAAAATTAAAATGTTACACAATTGCCAATTCGGCAATTCCCAATGTATGTCGCCCCAATTTGATTTTTTCAAAGAATTTTGAAGGAACCGCGTCCTGGCAATCTGAACGTGTTCCTCAAATTTTAGAGCTAATCCGATAATAATGCATTTCACCATGCCATTTAAGAAATAAGTACGAGTGTTTATTAGTACCTCCCTTTTTAAATAAATGTAAAAGTCAAATTTTTATGTTTGTCAATGAACAATTTTGATTTTAATATATTTAATTCTCTATTATTAAAAAATGAGATTTTGAAAATTTACCATTAGAAAAATTTAACAATGTACTCGGAGCCAGCTATGGACCCTGAGAAGATAGGCAATTGCCTAGGGCACCACTTTGAGTGGGGCACCATTTTTTCCTAAAAAAACTGGTACTCCTATTACTTAGTGGAGTCATTTTCCCGTCCGGCTGTCCGGCCACCTCGATTGAGGTGTTCCCGATCGTATTTTTGGCTGAAATTTTTTGTGTATTTCCTCATCAAGTCTAGTTCATCCTAGCCAATTTGAGCAAAAAAATTCAATCGAGAAGGTCGTCAAATGATTTTTGCATCATAACTGGTCCAGAATATACATATAAAACGCAGTTATAGAAATTACTTCAAATAGGACTAAAACAATGGCAAAAACTCAAAATGGGATTTGCTAGGTTTTTATTCCAAAATAGGACCATATGAGTCCTATTGGAAACATACCTATTTTTGCCTTCCATTCTTACCCTTTCATTAAATATGAGTTAAAAATAGTCAAAAACCATAATTAAATGTTTAATTCATAATAAATTCGAAAAAGATTCAAAAATTCGTAGAAAAATAATTAAAAAATTTACAAAATATTTTAAAAAAAAGTGGCATATTTCTCTTTGCGAATGCCAACATTTTCATTGTTTTCTGCCATAAATATGGCACTCGTAATGAACTTGGCATTTTTTCCCCTGGTGACAGGAGGTGGTGGTGCTGAGGTGGCAGAGGCGGCGGTGAATTTTGTTTCTTTTTTTTTAGTTTTTAATTTTTTTTATTTTTATTTTTTAAATTTTTTAATTTTTCGAAAAAAAATAATTAAATTTTTATTATCGAAATGTTTTTATTAATTTTTTAATATTTTTTACGATTTTTTTATTTTTTTTATTATTTTATTATGAATTAAAACATTTCAATAGTTATAAGAGTATATTCGTCTAAGACACACATGATTAATCCTATAAAAATTTAACATACTTCTTTTATTTAAGAACGGAAGAAGTATTTACCTTCAGACGTGCAAGCCATACAAGACCAGTTGCTGTAGGACCAACTACGACGGTGAAAATAAGGAAACAAAATGTGACAAACCATTTTGGAAACCCCATTATATTTTGGATTGAGGTTATAGTTTGGAAAGCTTATAATAAATTAAATGGTGCAAACAACTGGGTCGAAGATCGATATATAATAAGGTAACAATCTGTTTTTTGCTCAAGGCTTTGGAATGTGATGATACACCCATATATTAATATATATGGGAAAAGTATGGTGACATCAAGAGCTACGTTACAGATTGCAATTAGATGTGGATGACAGCTTCCATATTTCCAATTGACTACTACCTCCGTCCCATTTTAACTTCTAAATGAGTTTGGCACAAAGTTTAAGATAGTGGATCTTGTGTGGTGGATAGTTGTGCAGAGGAGAGAGAAATGTGTAAGAAATATTGTGAACCACTAATTCTTTATCAAAACGGGAAAGTGGAAGTTTTATTTGGAACGGACGAAAAAGGAAAGTTGGAAGTTTATTTAGGAACGGATGGTGTACTTCTTATTACCTCAAATGGATGGGAGATTTACTATAGGAACATAATTATGACTTCTGTTTTTTTGTTATGACTTCTATAACTTTATTCCTAGTAAACCATTCCACGCGCGACTAAAACATTTATTCGTCTGCCTAATGTCCCTTTTTCGGTGAAGACTTCATGCTGTAGGAGGTTATTTTGAGGGATTTGTTTCGAAAATAGTACATTGTTGGTGAAAATTCTTAAAAGTGGACAAATATATTATTAATTTTAGGACGTAATCTGCATATAAATAAAATCACATTACTAATTATTAATGGAAATATGAATAAGTTACGAGACAGTGACCAGAAGGTAATCCGGTTACCCGTGTAAGTGGATGTCGAGCTTTGTATTGTATAAT